CCATTATCATTCATCATTGATTGCATGTTATGTGACATGTTTATCAATCGTGGGTATCCGACGATGTATAAGGGCTATCAACTTAACTATCTAGATAACTGCATATTAGGGCGTTCATTTGCCGGAATACAGTACCTTTCTATGGTTCTTTTATTTAGATATTGATAATGAAAGCTGCAATAATAAATGTTAGATATTAGCCGATGAGCATCTCAAAGTGCTTAAACATGTACATTTGATAGCCTAGCATAGGTTAAAGTCTGAAAATTTCTAGAAAAAATAATAAACTTTGTACTTTAAAAATTGCATCTGGAAATGCACCAGAAGTCATCATTTGATAAGAAGATTCTTTTTTCCCAAGGGGAGGACCACAGACCCCTCTCTTCTAAAAGGTATTTACACCCCATCCCCCACCTCCGAAAATGCTTTTCTATGGGCTTAATGAGGTTAAAAGTACAATTGTTTGGTATACGTTTTGAGGTAAGGTTGCCTGCTATCAGTTGGGTCAGTATCCACAAGGATTATATTGCTAGAACTTTAATAGCTTCATGAAATAAAATTATTTTACTAAAATGGTGTACTATTATCCAAAGGACTCCAAGTGCAAATGTTTTATGGTATATTCTAATACAGTGACACCAAACTATTAAATACTAATACAGTGAGTGACACATAGCTAACGTATTCTTATACCGTGACACAAAACTGGTACATTCTTATACAATGACACACAACTACATTGTAGTATATTCCAACAAAATGATACTGACTAGTATATTCCAATACAATGACACGGACTTGTATATTCCAATACAATGACACGGACTTGTATATTCCAATACAATGGCGCAGACTAGTGTATTCCAATACAATGACACCATTAAGTATATTTCAATACAATGGCACAAAACAAGTATATTCCAATACAATGACACAAACTGGTAAATTCTTATACAATGACACAAAACAAGTATATTCCAACAAAATGACACTGACTAGTTTATTCCAATACAATGACACGGACTTGTATATTCCAATACAATGGCGCAGACTAGTGTATTCCAATACAATGACACGGACTTGTATATTCCAATACAATGACACCAATAAGTATATTTCAATACAATGGCACAAAACAAGTATATTCCAATACAATGACACAAGCTGGTAAATTCTTATACAATGACACAAAACAAGTATATTCCAACAAAATGACACTGACTAGTTTATTCCAATACAATGACACAGACTTGTATCTTCCATTATAATGACACAGACTAGTACATTATACAATGACACAAAACAAGTATTTTCCAATACGGGCAATATGCAGGTTTACGGACTGGTTGGTCAGACCTCGGAAGGTATTTTATTTGACCAACCAGTCCGTAAACTTGCATTTTGCCCGAAAGGCCATGTTTTATTTGTTATATTATTCCGAATCTAAATCATTTCATCCCTTTCGTTGCTGTCATTTTTACTATAATTTGCTTTCAAATAATAATTTATTTGTTCACTGTGTGAAATATCTCAAACCCTAGTCGGATTATTTATTATTATTTTCAAGCGATACAGAAAAAATAAAACATGCTCTTCTGCTCTTCTTTTGTTATATTCAATTTTTGTTAATCAAATTAAACAGGAAAAAAAACGAACTTTAAGATTTTCACAAACTGTATGAATAAAATTTATAATCAATTTAAAGACAAATCATGACTTTTGATCAACATGTACTAAATTTATGTGAAACAAAACAATAAATTCATTTAAAAGATTCATCTAACAACCAAATAAAATATTATACCTCATTTGCATACGCCCTTCTATATTTAATATGACGTCATCCAGTCCATATAAGAATTATGGACCGCCCCCGGTTTGTATGCGGTTTATTGACCGGATGACGTCATATTAAATATAGAAGGGCGTATGCAAATGATGTAAAATATATTCCAATACAGTGACGCAGATTAGTATATTCCAATACAATGACACAGATTAGTATATTCCAATACAATGACAGAGACTAGTATATTCCAATACAATGACACAGATTAGTATATATCATAATACAATGACACAGATTAGTATATTCCAATACAATGACACAGATTAGTATATTCCAATACAATGACACAGATTAGTATATTCCAATACAATGACACAAATTAGTATATTCCAATACAATGACACAGATTAGTATATTCCAATACAATGACACAGATTAGTATATTCCAATACAATGACACAGATTAGTATATTCCAATACAGTGACGCAGATTAGTATAGTCCAATACAATGACACAGACTAGTATATTCCAATACAATGACAGAGACTAGTATATTCCAATACAATGACACAGATTAGTATATTCCAATACAATGACACAGATTAGTATATTCCAATACAGTGACACAGATTAGTATATTCCAATACAATGACACAGATTAGTATATTCCTATACAATGACACAATTAGTATATTCCAATACAGTGACACAGATTAGATTCCAATACAATGACAAAGACTAGTATATTCCAATACAATGACACAGATTAGTATATTCCAATACAATGACACAGATTAGTATATTCCAATACAATGACACAGATAGTATATTCCAATACAATGACACAAATTAGTATATTCCAATACAATGACACAGACTAGTATATTCCAATACAATGACAGAGACTTGTATATTCCAATACAATGACACAGACTAGTATTATTCCAATACAATGACACAGATTAGTATATTCCAATACAATGACACAGATTAGTATATTCCAATACAGTGACGCAGATTAGTATATTCCAATACAATGACACAGATTAGTATATTCCAATACAATGACACAGATTAGTATATTCCAATACAATGACACAAATTAGTATATTCCAATACAATGACACAGATTAGTATATTTCCAATACAATGACAGAGACTAGTATATTCCAATACAATGACACAGACTAGTATATTCCAATACAATGACACAGATTAGTATATTCCAATACAATGACACAGACTAGTATATTCCAATACAATGACACAGATTAGTATATTCCAATACAGTGATGCAGATTAGTATATTCCAATACAATGACACAGATTAGTATATTCCAATACAATGACACAGACTAGTATAATCCAATACAATGACACAGATTAGTATATTCCAATACAATGAAACAGATTAATATATTCCAATACAATGAAACAGATTAGTATATTCCAATACAATGAAACAGATTAGTATATTCCAATACAATGACACAGATTAGTATATTCCAATACAATGACACAGATTAGTATATTCCAATACAATTATACAGACTAGTATATTCCAATATTATGATACAGACTAGTATATTCTAATACAATGATACAGACTAGTATATTCCAATACAATGACACAGACTTAAATATTCTAATACAATGACACAGACTAGTTTGTTCCAATACAATGACACAAACTAGTATATTCCAATAAAATGAAACAAACTAGTATATTCCAATACAATGACACGGAATTGTATATTCCAATACAATGACACAGACTAGTATAGTCCAATACAATGACAGAGACTAGTATATTCCAATACAATGACACAGACTAGTATAGTCCAATACAATGACACAGACTAGTATAGTCCAATACAATGACACAGACTAGTATAGTCCAATACAATGACACAGACTAGTATATTCCAATACAATGACAGAGACTAGTATAGTCCAATACAATGACACAGACTAGTATATTCCAATACAATGACACAGACTAGTATATTCCAATACAATGACACAGACTAGTATAGTCCAATACAATGACACAGACTAGTATAGTCCAGTACAATGACGCAGACTAGTATATTTCAATACAATGACACAAAACTAGTATATTCTAATACAATAACACCAAACTGATGTGTTCTCAAACATGTATCAATGATGACCTTTGTTCGAATTATTGAATTTGTTTTTACAAAAAAGGTTTTCGGAATTTCGTTTTTGTTTAAACATTAAATTATTATTTTTGTTTTATTTAGGTTAGAAATGCAAGTATGGATATTTACAACAATATACCGTATACAGCATATGAAAATATTAAATACATTCTTTTAAATACATCATGTAAGGCTCACAAACACAAAGGATGACACAAAAATGAGTAATTATTTTTTAATTCCATTGGTATCCTTATTTTGATTGCACGACAGCTAAATTATTAAAGATTGAAATGCATTTAGACATTGAACTGATATGAGATTATAAATTATTACACAAAGCATATAAATATCAGTATTTCGATTAACACCCATGCAAGCACATTACACATTATTATTATGCTAATAATAACTATTTTAAACTGAATATAAATACCTTAAATAAACATGGTTTATGTCAAAACGAAAATTAAACTGAGGAATAAGAACACTATTTGAAAACGATATGAAAAAATAAATCGGTGATAAAATTCTAGGAAATCGATTAAACAGTGCTTAAATATCTAGAAGAAGTATAAAACAATGATAAACACTTGAAAGGCATTAAACTTTATATTTTTCTTTAACGATCCTTTTGATAAAAAAACATCTTGTAAGAACAGGTAACATAAGAAGTCGTGAAATATTTACAATCCACTAATGTAGCTAAGAACAGCTAACTGTTCAAAACGTGAAATATTTAAAATCGTCTATGTAGCTAAGAACAGCTCAACAGACTGGCTCAATTTCACACATAATTAAAAATGATTTATGAAAAGCAGGTAGATTTAAAATGTCGTGTTTGTGATGATAAATTTGTTCAATGATTTATATCTTTACGGCCGCCTTTACTTAATGACGTTGAATAAAGCGTTTCAAGAGAATAATAATTTTGATTATGTTTGTTGAATGTATATCGTGACATGAAAGATTGATATCTGAAATTATTTCACATTTAAGAATATTTTATCAATGCAATTGTTTAAAACACGTGTTGTCATTGTAGATTGGCATGAAGAAGAAAGAAAAGACGATGATGAAAAAGTTACAGAGAAATCTGCACCTCGCCAGTCGCAGGTTGCCGTTACATTACAATGGTAATAATATACTTAACACACGTTTTCTTCCTGTACTCTTAGAGTTCATGTATTTATGAATCGTAAGTAAGTCGTAAAAAGTTTCACTTTTCACCCGTGATATCCACTATGTAACGAACCACGTATAATTCTCAAAACATATTCAATTATTATTTATAAAGAGAAAAACGTTGACAATATTAATAAACGAAGCATGTTAAGTAAAATAAATATCGAAATACCGGGTTAAGGTGGGTCAACAACGATCAAAAAATAGGCTGCAAATATGTTTATATCAGATAATAGTCAGCAAACCCCATGTCATAAATACGGACAAAGGTGGTCCTGTGGTTAATATAAGCAAATGGCTCGAAAAAAATAAAAATAAACATGTCAGTAAGGAATATAAAAAAGTGCGCATATCTCAAGATAAAAACGTACATGTGTGTGACGTATCAATTCGATTCCGACCCTGTACAACGGACCAAAATCGAATTTTGTTTAGTGTAGCTAACAAACAAAACATAATAGAATCATATTTTTTTAGATTCTACCTTTTTGCGACGGACGCGCCCTCATGCGCGTTCAGACCTATGTCAACTACACATAGGATTACGACGTCTACAATCAAAAAGTGGCCCTAACCAAATAACATCTGCAAAACCCCACACCTCAAAATTTTATAGAGTGGACAAAACATCACACATGAACTTTCGAGAATGTACAAAACCCCACACTTTTAATTTTATAGAGTGGACATAACCCCACACTTTCTTATTATCTATTATAAAACATTAAATTTCATTTGAATTTCATCTTGTAACAAACAAAAAACAATTTATGTTTGGTATAATTATTAATAATGAAAGAAAAGAAATACTTGCAGTCACGTCATCTTGCTATGTAATTAGTTATTTTTACATGTAATTGTATATATCATGAATGCTTGTATATGACTCTTTTGAGAGTTATTTTGCAAAATAAAGATTCTTCTTCAACAATACAATATGAGTGAATGTTCAATAAAAATCAAAGAATAAACATCAAATAATCTTAATTAACACTGATTATTCTAAGTGTCAACATAATGTCAGTTATATTATTGTCAATCAAAGGTCTATACAAATAAGTACTAAAAATTGTGGTGTTATGTCCATTGGGGTTTTGTCCACTCTATAGGATTTTTAGGTGTGGGGTTTTGACGTGTAGAACAAGTTTTAATCATATAAAGGACATACATGATGTCGGAATATGTTGAAATAAATATACGAGACAACATTACTTTGTCCTACTTCGTCCCAAACGCAAACGAAGTACAGCCAAACTCGGTTTTTATGACAGACCGCCGTAAGCAACGACAAATTATATATAAAATCGGAATAATATTTTCTAATTCAGAGAAAAAAATGCCAGTTATAAGGAAATAACTTTTATGCGGAAAACATGTGGAAAAATATTTTTTTGTGGTGACTGAAATAATTATCAAAATAACGATTCCTAGTCGTAGAAGCACTTTTTAGTCCCCTACCGGTTTACCGGAGGGAACTTTAGGTTTACCCTCTGTCCGTCTGTCTGTCTGTCCGCACTCACAGGAGAGTAATTATGTGGCTAGAGGGACAATAGGTAACTGTTCTTTCTCTTTGATGTCATTCATTCCGTAATGCTTTTATGTGGCTATTTTCTTTTGTGTGGCTAAAAAGAACAATAGAGAGAACAATAGAGTAGCCACATAATTACTGTCCTGTGAGAACGTCCGTCTGTCTGTCCGTCGTCCGTCTGTCTGTCAGTCCGTCCGTCCACAAAACTGGATCCCGCGATAACTTGAAAAGTACTGAAAATATTTTTATGAAACTTGATATATGGATAGATGGCAGTATGGAGATTATGCACGTCTTTTTCTTTTCTTCCTATATTGAAAATTCTGGTTGCTATGGCAACAAATAGGAAGAAAATATGGCAAATTTTACACATAAACTGGATCCAGTGATAACGCAAAAAGTACTGGAAATATTTTTTATGAAACTTCAAATATGGGTAGATGGCAGTCTGGAGATTATGCACGTCTTTTTCTTTTCTTCCTATGTTGAAAATTATGGTTGCTATGGCAACAAATAGACTGAAAATATGGCAAATTTTACACATAAACTGAATCCAGTGTTAACGCAAAAAGTAATAGAAATATTTTTATGAGTCTTGTAATATGGGTAGATGATCATGGTAGTCTGGAGATTATGCACGTCTTTTTATTTTCTTCCTATGTTGAAAATTCTGGTTGCTATGGCAACACATAGACTGAAAATATGGCAAATTTTACACATAAACTGAATCCAGTGATAACTAAAATAGTACTGGAAATATTTTTATGAAACTTGACATATGGGTAGATGGCAGTCTGGAGATTATGCATGTCTTATTTGTTCTTCCTATTTTGAAAAAATATTGGTTGCCTTGGCAACAAATAGGCTTAAAACATGGCAAATATAACAATATTTGTGATTAATCAAAAAGAGCTGAACATTTTTATGAAAATGCATCTTTAATTCAAGAGTTATCTCCTCTCTAAGAATTTTGCTTTTAAAAATGTTATATTTTGGTAACAGTGATGTTTCAAATATTAGTTTTAGAGTGTCATTCAGTCCGTCTGTCTGTCTGTTCATAAAAACTGTTTCCTGTGATCACTTTAAAAGAACTTTTTCCAACAAATTTACTTAAAATATAGAAAAATTGAAACATTAGTGAATGGCCAATGGCCCTTCAGAATGTTGATGGGTTCTAACCGGTAGGGGACTTATGGATTGCTTGCAATACTATGATAATTGCTTGTTTATCAATGAGATTGTAGCGATTTACAGAGACAGTTCACCCCTCAGACACTGCACTTGCACACAGTACACCCTCTTTTTAAGAAATTTGTTTGAGACACTCCCCCACACTTTTTTATATTGTATTGAACAATAATTAATGTAGGAAATATTATATGTATTCAATATTGAAGTGTCTTGATGTGTGGAGTATATTCAAAATTTTATACGAGTCTTATATTGAACATTTTAATAGAAATAATTAATAAGAAATAAAATTGAATCGACAATTTATTTGTGTGTTTTTTCCATATCAAATAGACCAATATGATAATAACAGGCACGGATCCATCGGGGGGGGGGGGGGTTAAGGGGCTGAAGTCCCCCCCCCACCCTGGCCTGATTCTTTTTTCTAGTCCTTGTTCATTGGAATCTGGACCCCAGGTGAGCTTCCTGTAATAAAATTCATTTAGTCCAATTTGCGATTTGTCGACATAATTAATGGTTTAGACTATACATGCATGCAGACACTACTTACATGTAGATTACCTTTGGTCTGTGTAGAGGCAGTTTAAGCGTCCACATAATACTGAATAAATTAGCATAAGAAAAGAGCCATTTGCTCTTAGTACATCTAAATACATGTACATGTACTTGTAAATTATAAATAGGGGCTATTTATATGAATGTGATGACATTTAATCTACATAAATACGGAAGCGCAAGTGATGTAAATTTTAATTAAAAAGCAGTTTAAACATACCGCTTTTTTTAGGTTGTATGCAAAGCAGAACCATTTTTTCCCATAGATTTAGTTTTTTTCTTCCACTTTTGCAAAAAGTTTCACTTCAGTGTAAAAATGTATATATAATATGTATGAACTGTTCTACCTAATGTATTTTAAATGCCCCTGTTTCGTGAGGAAAATATTACTTTCTAATAAAATAATTTATGTGTGACCAAAAATGGAGCAAATTAAATTTAGAATATTGCAAGGTTTCATGTTACTTGTATAAAAAAGACTGGAACCTGATGAACAAATTAGCCCATTAATTCGAAGAATAGTGGTACAATTCTTCTCATCTTAGCGTCAGTGTCCGCGTTTGAATACCACTTCAGAAAGCATTTGCTTTAGTTTCTGTTTTTACTATGTGTACATAATGAAAATCAATGCCCCCGGGCAGGGCTAATTTGACACAAGGGGCAAAATTTGAACAACTTTGGTAGAGGACCTATAGATGATATCATATAGCAAACATCAAAGCTCTAAGCCTTGAACCTTCAAACAAGCAGATTTTTTTAATTTTTTACTGTATGTAAAAATAGCAAAAATCAATGACCCCCGGGGCGGAGCCAATTTTAACCCAGGGCTATAATTTGAACAATCTTGGTAGAGATTCACTACGCAAAGTCTCATACTAAATATCTAACCTCTGGTCTTTGTCAATTCAGAGAAGAAGATTTTTATGTTTTTACTATATACATATATGGAAAACTATCGCCTCTGGGGCAGGGCAATTTTAACACTAGGGGCATAATTTAAACATTTTTGGTAGAGGGCCCATAGATGATATTATATAACAATATCAAAGCTCTAAGCCTTGTACCTTCAGACAAGAAGTTTAAAGAATTTTTTACTATATGTACATAGTGAAAATCAATGACCCCCAGGGTGGGGCCAATTTTGACCCCAGGGCCATAATTTGAACAATCTTGCTAGAGGTTCACTGCACAATGTTTCATGCAAAATATCTAACCTCTTAAACCTTTGTGAATTTAGAGAAGATGATTTTTTAAGTTTTTACTATATACATATGAGAAAAATCTATGACCCCCGGGGCGGGGCTGATTTTGACACTAGAGGCAAAATTTAAACAACTTTAGTAGAGTGCCTATAGATGATATCATATACCAAATATCAAAGCTCTAAGCCTTGTACCTTCAGACAAGAAGGTATTTTAAGTTTTTACTATATGTACATATTGTGCAAATAAATGACCCCTGGGGCGGGACCAATTTTGACCACAGGGCTTTAATTTGAACAATCTTGGTACAGGTCTACCAGACAATGCCTTATGCAAAATATCTATGCTCTATGCCTTGTGGGTTTTTACAAGAAGATTTTTAAAATTTATTCTTATAAATCCTTTTGGTTGCCATGGCAACCAGATTTCTGCATGGAATAAAATTCTTTGAATAACTTTGGAAGCCCTTCACCCA